GGGGGGAGACACCTGCTGGGTGAGCAGGCTTGTGCTAGGGTTATCTATCCCTAAGTAGGCTCTGGGCCTGGATTTAGTGGAATGGGAAGGGGCCACTTTGTATGCCTTAAAACAAACAAACAACTTAGTGGGATCTACTTGTTGCGTGAGATAGAATCGGTCTTGGTTAACAGGTATCTATTTGCTTGATTGCTTTCGTTGTTGTTGGAGTTTTGTTTTGTTTCCATCCAGGGAGTTATCGTCCCTTTTCAGACCAGTCCACACAATAGGTAGAGTCACAGTTGAAAGGAGCAACCTAAAAGCCCCAGTAGTGAGAAATTAGTATCCTAAGAAACCATAAATATCAATATGGCATATCATCTATAGCTCAGAAAATAAGGCCAGAGGCCCATCCCACTAAATTGATGTTATATTTCACTGAATGGGATTAACTGTGTGTGTGTGTGTGTGTGTGTGTGTGTGTGTGTGCCTGTTTGTGCCAGTCCTGGAACTTGAACTCAATGCCTGGACACTGTCCCTTAGCTTTTTTGCCCAAGGCTGGCACTCTACCACTTAAGCCACAGCTTCACATCCAGCTTTTTATTGGTGAATTGGAGGTAAGAGTCTCACAGACTTTTCTGCCTGGGTTGGCTTCCAACCACAAACCTCCTATCTCAGCCTCCTCGAGTAGCTAGGATTATAGGAGTGAGCCACCAGAACCTATCAGGCACAAATACTACATATGCTGTACACCCTATAAAACCTACCACACCAAAGAAAATCATTTTTATATCTCATTCTTGTTTTCTCATGTGTTTTGTTTCTATGTCCATGTTATATCTAGGACACTGTTACATACCTGGTATATGGCTGCCCCCACCCCTCTTAGAACATACATCTTCTGACTCTGTGTTCTCATTGGTTCTGTCTAATCTACCAACTCTGACTTTCTCTGACCATCCTGTGTCTAGGAAACACATTCACCCTTCTAAAACTATCTTTTCTCCTCTTCACCATGAGCACACAGAGGTCTACCTGTCAGATACAACACAGACAGGGGCACTGACATACTTGCGGTCCTAAATATCCAGAGTGTGTTTTGTTTTTGTGTTTTGTTTGGTTTTGAGCCAGTACTGAACAAGTACAAGGCTTGAACTCAGGGCCTCACATTTTTGCTTGGCTTTTTTTGCTCTAGGCTGGCACTCTACCACTTGAGTCAAACCTCTTCTTAAGGCTTTTTTAAAGAGTCTCACAGACTTTCTTGCCCAGGCTGACTATGAACTAGGATGTCAGAGTGTTACGTTGTTGTTGTTATTTATAATCTCAATATCAGTACTCTCATGTAACTTTTTAGCAGAAAGGTAAATATCCTATCTGGCCAGGGCTTAGAGAAGGAGAAGACAGTCCTCTTGTGTCCAGGCAGAAAGCTCTTTGAAGAGCCATAGTTAGAATAGTCTTTCTCTGGTGCTGAGGCAGGGAGAGTTGACTGGGCCACCTCTCCAGGGAGGGCTGCTAGTACTCTAGTCTGGTTTCTTCCTGATTCCCCAAGGATGCATTTGACATGGAGTGGAGGAGGGAGAGGACAGCAACTGTGATAAGACAAACAAAAGGCATTTAGAAAAATGTTTAGGGTAGATGTCAAAATATAAGCTTAAGACGATGAGCAAACGCTATGAAAGATCTTTGATGTGGAAGGAAATAAAGAGGAATGGAGTGCTACAATGTGGATGGTAATAAATGAAACATGAAGAGGAAAAACAAGGCTAAATTGAAACATAAAAAATCAGCATAGTTTTGAAACCTAGGAAAAGTCAAATGAAAATGTGCTATATTAGGCAATAGGTAGGTAAAATATTTCATTTTTGGAGCAGCTCACTCTTGTGACTATTTCTTCCTTTCAGCTGCGTGATATAATGCATATATGAGATTTTTTTTAATTGTGTAGCATTAAGTCAGGATTTTATACTCGCCGGTGCTTGAGCCTTTTTTGCTTGGGTTGTTTTTGAGATAGTGTCTCACTTTTTGCTGACTGTCAGCCTGGGCTAAGATCCTCTTATCTACTCTTGCTACCACAGCTGGCATAATAGGTGTGTGAAACCACACCCAGCTATTCTATAGAGATGGAGGTACCACCAACTTTTTACCTAGGTTGGCCTTAAACCACAGTCTTCCCAATCTCAGCCCCTCCTATAGCTGGCATTGCAGGTATGAACCAATGTGCCTAGCTTAAAATTTTTGTTTCTGCATTATTTTAATTTTTTTAATATTATTTTTTAACCACACTTAGTTAAAAACTTAGTGTTAATACATCCACAAATAAGGCAGACTTCCTTGTATGTAGATTTGTCACCTGTCACTAGAGACTCATGACAGACAGGGGGACTTAGAAAGCAGCTGGTTGTCACTGGCAACAAAGTCATTGAAAAGGAACCTGTAGAATGAAGAGGTCCTCAAACAGATCTATACTAGGGACATCTCAGATCTGCTCAGAGAACCAGATGACAAGCGGATGACCAAGGTGGTGTGTAACAGGAAGACAAGGACATGGAGAGGGAGCTACAGTCGATAGGCATCAGAACACCTCTGGGTGTCCTATAGAGGAAAAGGAGCCTCCAGAGAAGGAGATTGGTATTCTGAATTGAACAGGAGGAGGCTATTGAATAGCTTCCAGAGCAGTGAGTAGGAATGAGGAATAAAACTGTCAGGGTTGGCTTTGAATGGTGATCCTCAGATCTCAGCTTCCTAAGAAGATAGGATTATAGGCATAAGCCACCTTCACCCAGCCTGTAGTGCATATTTTCTCAGAACCAAAATGTTGATAGTTTCTTATTGAATAGCAGTTCAGTTTATTCTGAAATAAAACAAGTAGTGATTTTTACATGACGATATACTTATACTATAATCCAGAAGTTTTTTTTTATTTGTTTTTGCTAATATTACCACTTGCATGAAAATAGAGAGCAATCATTTACAATCTTGCCAAAGGCTTTCACTCTTTTCTTTTTTTGTGGTCTAACTTACCTGCTGCCTAATAGTCCCTGAGTAGGCATATCCTTTATGTTTTTGTCCCCTTGTCCCTAGATACCTGTGAACCACCACCACCTTTTGAAGCGATGGAGCCTGTTCATAAACTTAAACCTTTTTACAGCGTTGGGGAACAAGTGCTATACAAGTGTAAAAGAGGGTACTCGATTGTGCTTCTGTTATCCATGACTACCACCTGTGACAAGAATCTGACATGGACACCGGTTAGAGATATCGTTTGTGGTAGTAAGTAAACACAACATATTTTACACAACATATTACTGTTACTACTTTTTGCTTGTTCTAGGATGCTTTCACTCAGAATCTCAGGCTATATATGCCTGATTTTCTCACATTAAGTGAGATTTGAGATTCCTGTGGGTTTTGTTTTGTTGCGTATTTTTGTGGAGTTCTGTTTTGTTTTTTTTTTTAAGTCAGTCTTTGAGAAACTTCTAGGGATTTTTTTTTTTTGGCCATTGCTTGCCTGAGTGATTGTACATCTTACATTTGTCCTCATAAATACAAAGAAAACAATACACCATAAAATGTAAGAAAATGCAATGTAGATATTTTTTTTTTTGCTTTAAATGTATGTGTTTAAAATTCCACCATTTTGCTTTCTGTTAGGAGATCTTTGTAACACTCTCCAAAATCCTGCATTTGGCTGGGTATACTACCCCACTGGGTCTTGGGCATGGGGTAACAAGGCGCACTTTGCTTGCCAGGAGGGGTAAGTTGTTCCTTTGGAAAAAGGTAATTATCTTGCTGATTCTCTGTGTTTCCCCTTAAACAATCATGTAAAACTTGTTTGTTTTTTCCTTCTGTGACAAGTTGTACTTCTAGCTAAACAACCTTTGCTGCTTTTTGGAGACAGGATGAAAGTATAACTAAAGAAGTTACACTTTCCTTTAATTTTTTTTAAGACCTAACTTAAAAGAGTACTTGCTATATCAAGTAACAAGCCAACTTGCTATACCCAACTGCACCACTACTAATTGTAACCCTGAATAAACATAGGTAAGGGTTTTACAGCTACCCCAGCAAAACCTAAAGCATTAAGAATGCTAAGTGCATTCTACTACCAATAGAATTGAAGTTGTGCTCACAGGTCCAGATTTATGAGCAACAGCAATACTGTAATTCCTGAACACTGTTTACTCACGTAGACTAAAAGCTCATTTGATTAAAAATCACAGTTTAATAACACACTTCCAATACGTGCTGCTTAGGAAGCCTCTCCCTCAAACCACTGCCTCTAAAAATTGCCTGCCTTATTATGTGCAGCCGGTTCATTGCTGAACAAAACAGTAACTTTTTCTTGGCTCATTTAGATATTACTTAATTGGTCAAGAAATTCTACACTGTGTGCTTAATAAAGATGCTGAGGCCGTTTGGACCGGAACTCCCCCACAATGTGAAAGTAAGTCTTGTGTGTGTGTGTGTGTGTGTGTGTGTGTGTGTGTGTGTACATGTGCACATGTGCTAGAATTTTAAAGTAATTACTAACTCATTTTTAAGGATAATGAATTCAAATGGATGTAACATACATTTAACTAGTTAGTTAGTTAGTTATTATGCCAGTATTTGGGCTTCAACTCAGAGCCTCGCAATCTCACTTAGCTTTTTTGCTCAGGGCTGCCACGCTACCACTTGAGCCACCTCTCCACTTTCAGTTTCTTGCTGGTTAATTGGGGATTATGGTCTCACAGACCTTCCTATTGGTGCTGACGCTGAACTGGGATTTTAAGATCTCAGTTTCCAGTCTGGGAAGGTGGCTCAGTGGTAGAGCGCTTGCCTTGCATGCATGAGGCCCTGGATTTGATTCCTCAGCACCACATAAGCAGAAAAAAAAAAGCCAGAAGTGGCGCTGTGGCTCAAGTGGTACAGCGCTAGCCTTGAGCTTAAGAGCTGAGGGACAGCGCCCAGGCCCAGAGTTCAGGCCCACAACCTCACCCCCCCTCCAAAAAAAAAAGATCTCAGTTTCCCAAGTAGCTAGGATTAGAGGCATAAGCTGCTAGCACTCAGCCTATCTGTATCCTATTTTGAAGGAAAAGTTTTTGTTTAAGATGAGTTTTTATGAAAAAACATCTGCAGTTGGTCTACTGTATTATCAGGGTTTGTAGCCTCTACCAAAAATTTCAGCATTGTGAAGATGGTGGTAATAAAAGACATCTGTTAGTATGATTATGAAATACCCATTTAGAGAAGGTAGAAATTATAAAAAAATATTTTGCACTTAGCACTCAGTTTTCTTTTTAGTTGCAAAAATTAATTTCTCTTCAATTATCCACTTCTCTTATGATGACCAGTGTAAGGCAGAGCATGACCTTGCAAATAAATATAGACATTTTATTCCTTAAGAAAATAAACTGTTGTCTTCTGAACACTCATTTCTACATGAATGGTTTGGATTTGGAATATCAGAAACCCCCTAATAAATACTGAATTCACAACTAGCTTATAGAAAACCTATATTGATGAACTTCCTGATAGCAGTTTAGAACTTTGCTAACGTTATCTTTCATTTCTTACCTTGCTTTTTTAATGCCTTTCCTGTCTCCGCCCCCCCAACTTTTTTTTAAAGAGATCCTTTGTACACCACCTCCAAAAATTAAAAATGGAACACACACTTTTACTGATATAGAGGTATTTAACTTCCGAGAAGCTGTCACTTACAGCTGCGATCAGATCCCCGGACCAGATCAGCTTTCACTTGTTGGCCAGAAAATTCTGTATTGTGCAGGCAATGGAGTTTGGAGCAGTGATCCTCCTGAGTGCAAAGGTAACAGAGACTTTTCCCTTCTTTACCTGTGCTTCCTGTGGAAGCATTCTGTAGAGTTTTACCTACACATAAACAAAATGGACATTTGAGCTTCCTCCTTTTGTACAACAGTTATCTGATTTAATTTCATAGTCATAATCTCATAGTCATAATTTCAAGGTCAAGCAAAACATAATTGTACCTACGTATATGTGCCTTCTCCCTTACCATAATATGGTTTGGCATTTCACCTTATGTGTTTAGAACTACTATGGATGTACATGAGTTAGGGTGCTTTTATTTAAAAGAACAAGCTCAATACACACTGCTTAAAAAATAGGATAATGGCTTGCAGAGGTTTTGCAACAGTTAATGGTAGAGCAGCTTGTACTGACCCTCTTACTTGACAAGAATAAGAAGCCCTGGACAATTTTTTTTTTTTTTGGGTCCAGTCGTGGGGCCTGAACTCTGGGCCTGGGCGCTGTCCCTCAGCTCTTCAGCTCAAGGCTAGGACTCTACCACTTGAGCCACAGCGCCACTTCTGGCATTTTTCTTTTTGCTTATGTGGTGCTGAGGAATCGAACCCAGGGCCTCAGGCATGCCAGGCAAGCACTCTACCACTGAGCCACCTTCCCAGCCCTGGACAAAATTTTTTTAAGTCTTTAGATTTTGAAGGTTGACTAATGACAAACAGCATGGAGACACTTTCAATCTGCCCCTTGAAAAAGAGCCACCACTGCATCCTAGCAAAATAAACACTATTTTCAGAGACATATGGAAGCTCTCTTAAGGTAGGAGAGTGTCTAGGCAAGAAGGTAATTTTTAATAAATATCAAAAAATCAAGCCAGGCACCAGTGGCTCATACCTATAATCCTAGATACTCAGGAGGCTTGAGATCTAAGGATTGGGGTTTGAAGCCAGGCCAGGCAGGAAAGTCCATATGACTTTTATCTCCAATTAACCACCAGAAAACTGAAAATGGTATTGTTGGCTGAAAGTAGCAGAGAACACTAGCCTTGAGCAAGAAGAGCTGTCAAAAAAAAACAAAACTGAAATCTTACACTCTCAGGAAGTAAAGTAGAATAACAAAAACATCAAAGGAATGCCCAAATAATTGAAAATTATGCAAGATGCTTCTGCTTTTTTTCTTATTTTGATCCAAGACCAGAACTCAAATTCAGTACCTGATGCTTTCATTCATTTGCTAGCGCTTTACCAACTGAGTCATGCATCCAACTTCACAAGATGCCTCTAAATCACCCAGTGATTAAAAAAAAAGAAAAAAGAAATTGGAATTAGTTATGTGTTTAGAATTGAGTAAAGACCAAAAGACCAAAACACAGCATATGAAAATATCCAAATTTGTGGGAGCAGCTAAAGCATTGCTTAGAGAGAAATGTGTGCAATGCTTGTGTTAGGAAAAAAAGTCAGCAGTCAAATGACCTATGCGTCTACCTCAAAACATTAAAGAAGAGCAAATTAAGCCTAAAACAAGCAAATGGAAGGCAATGATTAAAAAAAAATTACACGCAGAGAAATCAGTGAAGCAAACAGCTTAATCTTAGAGAAAATGGATAAAGTGTAAGTCCATAGCCAGACTGACCAAAAATAAAGACACAAATTATCAAGAATGAAAACAAGAGCCAGGCACCTGTTTCTCACCTATAATCCTACCTACTCAGGAGGCTGAGATCTGAGGATCACAGTTCAAAGCCAGCCTGAGCAGTAAGACTCATCTCCATTAATCACCCCCCCAAAAGTAATGAAAATGAACATACCATTAAATAGCATTCTGACATCTAAAAGATGATGAGATGATTATAATACACTTTTTCTTTCTTTTTCAGTAGTACAAGGGTACTCAGGGCCTTGTACTTGCTAGTCAAATTACTACTGGCATTTGAACTCAAGCCCTACATTTACTATATAGGTACTCTATATGCCTCTGGTACAAAACTTACCTACTTCTTGGAAGACATAAAGTATCTATTAAAGAAATACAATTTGGGGGCTGGGAAGGTGGCTCAGTGGTAGAGCGCTTGCCTTGGGTTCGATTCCTCAGCACCACATAAGCAAAAAGAAAAAAAAGCCGGAAGTGGTGCTGTGGCTCAAGTGGTAGAGCGCTAGCCTTGAGCTGAAGAGCTGAGGGACAGCGTCCAGGCCCAGATACAGGCCCTACGACCAGACCCCCCCCCAAAAAAAAAGAAAAAAAATACAATTTGTAGGTAATAGCCTTCCCATAGACAGTGTATAGTTTCATTATGTAATTCTAGCAAACATTAAAGGAATCAATGATTTTACACAAGCTTTTCAAGAAAATGCACGAAAAAGAAATTCTCCTCAAATCATTTTATAAGGACAGCATTGTCTTGATACTAAAAACTGGAGAAAAACCTTGCAAGAAAATATTTAAAAAGTTATCTTTGGTCTGTTTATTTTGTGCCAGCACTGGGGCTTGAACTCAGAGCCTTATGCCCTGGCTTGGCTTTTTTGCTCAGGGCTGGTACTCTACCACTTGAGCCTCAGCTCCACTTTTGACTTTATGCTGGTTAATTGCAGGTAAGAGGCTCACAGACATTTCTGCCTGGGCTCACTTCAAACAGGATCCTCATTGGTACAGCTGAACACAGCAAATGAACTGAGACAGGCCTATAGAAATCCAACATGATTTAAGAAGAAAACTTTAAGAAACAGTCTTACAGACCTACCTATGAGAGAGAGTCAGCTAGTCAACGGTGTACGTAATTGGAAGCATTGTTTTAAGTAAATGTTAGCTAAAAGTTATCCAAATTTAATTCCAAAAAAACTGCAAACAATCACTTCAGATCTAGGAAATTCAGTGACTTTGAGGCAAAGTGAATAAATTATTAAACTTTACCTCTATCCTTAGCAGTTCAGTAGTATTGGTTGATAAAACTAACAACAGATTAAGAAAAAAAATTGCCAGTAAGAGTCCAACAACAACAAACCAGATTACCCCCAAAAAGCTAGAAGACATTGGTGTGGGTTAAGATAGTCAAAAGAGAACTTAAAAACACTTATCTGGAGTGCATCAAGGAGAATCTTCTAAAATGGAAGGTGGTACAACTGGAAACTATATTCAGATAAACCAAATCTGAGGTAATCTGTCATCGGCCAATCCTTCATTGTGAGAATTTCTTGTGTACTAGTATGGGGTCTAAGCATTGGTGGTTAACTTTTATTTGGGACCTTTTATGCTTGTGTATTCATTTGGAACATAAAATGTGTTTTATCATCTCTAGGTTTCATTCAGACACAAGATTTAGAACACTCTAACTCCACTGCTCTGGAATATCCCAGTCTGTATGTGTTGTTTCTGCCCAAGAAACAACATGCCTATGTGTCATTGTATGACTAGCTAGCTTCTTTTCAGGTTTTAAAGTTTTGAGTGTCACCTTCTCCAAGAAGTGTTCATTACCTTTTTGAAAAAGCAGCATATTGCTGCTTTGAAAGACCCCTATCGTTCATCAGTTTTCCAAAGTTGCAGTAGAACTTGACTTGAATTTGTCTTACAGTGGGACCTTTCTCAAACAAGGAATAAGTTATGAGATTCTGTTCCTTAAAAGGTAAGATGGATCATTAGGTTTTTCTGAATCTCTTAGCTAGAATGAAAATGCATTTGAATATGTAAAACACACACACACAGTATCTTGCATTCCATTTCTTGTCTCTTCATTCCTACTGGAAATGAATACTTTGGTTTCTTTTCTTTTCAGTGGTCAAATGTCCGTTTCCAGTACTTGTAAATGGAGAAATTACCTCAGGATTGGCAAAAAATTTTTCCTACCAGGCAGCCATTACAATTGAGTGCAAAGAAGGTTTTTACCGAAATGGCACTGACAAATTTGTCTGTAACGGAAACAGTGCTTGGGATCCCCCGATATCACCCTGCCTTAAAGGTACAAATGTGCTCTGTTTTTCCTTCTTCTTGCTTAATGGTTTAGGTTTTATTTCTTGAATATCTCAATATAAACTCCATGTTATATTTATTTCTATGTTGTAAACATAAATTTTAGGTCTGCCATTATATTCTCATGGAATTCTGCTGTTACAGTTTGAGTTTTAGAATTTTTATTTGTGTTGTTTAGCTCACTGGTGTGTCTCTGAGTTTCACTTGTTCAGTATTATTATGCATAGACTATGGATGGCAGGAAATTTTCAGAGTTGATCAAAGCATAATATTTCTAAAGAAATAGACATCAATCTAATCTGATTAGATTAATAATTAGATCTCTAATTAAATAGATATTCCTATCTAATTACATCCAGAATGAAAGGCATGACTTGTGTAAGCAAAATGTTTCATCTAAATACCACTGTCTTGTTTTCCAGGGCGGCCTTCTCCCAGTCCCAAACTTCCAACTTGGATTTACGGAGGTTTAATCACTTCCTGCTTATATTTTCCCAAGAATATTTCAAATTTCTGGTGAAAATACAGAAAACTTCCAAGAGTTTGACCCAATATATATTCTTCACTTTTTTAACAGGGTCAGTCCCAACCCTGTACCAAACCTAACCACCACCACTGTCTCAGGTTGAGTACTTTCCTGCTCATACTTTTCAAAAATCCTTTAAATTCCTGGTGATTTTGTATAATATCCTATATATTCCATGTAGAATCTAATTCATTCATCATTTTTTTGGTAGTAAGAGGAGGAAGACTATGTTTACAGCCACCTTATTGGTTATCTATAGGGAAGAAGACTATGTTTACAGCCATCTTATTGGTTATCTATAGTGATTCTGATATCTTATTTGCATAGTCCACATACTTGGCTGTGCACATTCCTTGGGAACACTGTGTAAATTTAAAATGTGTCTAACACCTATATAAAATGACTTAGTATCTTTTTTACTAGGTATAAGACTTGTAAGATACGTTGAAAGCACTTAGCAGGTTAGGAAGCTTATATAGGAAGCTCTCTAAAGTGTATCACTACTTAATATTCATGAAGAGGAAAGATCATGATTTCTGTTTGTAAATGGGTTTTGTGTCACCAACTTTGCTCTTTTACGTGTGTGTGTGTGTGTGTGTGTGTGTGTGTGTGTGTGTGTGTGTGTGTGTGATCTGTTGACACCCTTGTTGGTTGCCTTTCTAGTGGAAGTCTGTGCTTCCACGTGCTTCCCCGCCAGTTCTTTATATGTAACTGGGAGACCTCTGCCATTGCCAAAACGTGGCTATATTTTTACTTCTTCCTCACTTCCCTTCCTCACCTAAAAAAATTATTCTTTGTCTTTTACTAGGCAGTTTTATTAGGCAGTAGAAACTAGATTTCGTATTAACTGAAGGGCACAGATAAGCCTTATCTACTGAAATAGGATGGCTTCTTCAAGGAACCAGTGATCAGCTGCTGTACTCAAGACTGCATCAAGGCCATCTTGATATAGAGAAAGGAACTATTGTCTGGATTCGGGGCTGTCATTTCTTGGTTTCTTAGAAGCAAGAGATGACAGGAATAGTGAAAAGGGTATTCACTAGGGTAGAGTAGTTTGGAAACACCTAATTCAGCTATTGTTTCTATGGGCTTCAGGGTCCCTTTGGTTTAATAAGGATGTTTTAGCTGAAAACAAATTACAGGTCCTAATTTGGTCAAATATTTCCTATTCTCCTTATATAAATATTAGGGCTTACATTATTTCTTTTTTTGAAATGAAATTTTTTTATTGTGAAAATACTGTACAGAGGGGTTACAACAATTACATGGGCAAGATAATGAGTACATTTCTTATCAAGCATTTGTAGCCCCCTCCTTTGTTTCCCTTTCCCCATCCCTCCCCCCCATACATTATTTACTCTTAATATATAAAAGTAAGGTTTAAGCTTCAGGCCTTGTGCTTTCTAGGCAAGCATTCTCTCAGATGAGCCACTCTGTAGCCTATTTTTATTTATTTACTTATTTAGCTTCAGCTCATTTTTCAGACAGAATTTTGCTCTTTGCCCTAAGCTGGCCTTGGACCAAGATCTTCCTACCTCCAATTATAGGCCTGCACCCATATATCTGGCCACTCCTTAATATTTTTAAAGGGTGGGCAGGAATTACGAGGGAACTTCTTTGCCTGCCTCAGCCAAGCATTGTGAGACAGAGGGAGATGATTTTTGGAGGGCTGATATGTGAGCAAAAGTAAGACGGCATTTGAAATATATACACATTGGTCCATTTGTATCAGCTCATATACTCCAAGAGGGTATACCTAATGTGGTATACTAACTTTGTCAATAGGCTCTTTTGAAAGAATTGACAATAAGTATTTCATAAAGGATTTGCAAAACAATGATTTAGCTTAGGGTTTGGTAGAGAGAACTAATTGTGGAGGGAAAAAAAACATCTAAATTCCTGACAGAAGGTTGTCAGTAATTTTTTATCCAGTGGGAAATAATATATATCACAAGTATGAACAACATAGGGCTGTATTAAGGTTGATCTAAGTGTGCTAATATGAAAAATGACCAAGAAATGCTAACTGGAAATAATTCAGCTGTTAATGGTGTAGTGTGTTACTGCTGGTTTTCTTACAAAGAAACATATGTTTACCCCTAACACATTATTTTTTTTGGATTTATTAGTAGTTAACTTCTAGGCTTTCCAATATAAAATGTAGGGTTTTAGTGACCATTCTTGTGTGTGCCAGATATACTCAGAAGTAGAATCCCTATGATCAGAAAGTACAGCTATTTTTACTTGGATAAGCCATCCTTTCTGTAATCTTATATTGATAAGGGATAGGGAAGTGATAAGACTTCAAATTTGTTTTTCCAGGTCCTAGACCTACTCATCCCAGGAAGCCTGCAGTGTATGAATATCCAGGTTTGGTCATTCTTTATCTTGCTGATAAAAGAACTCCATAAATGATAGATGAATAATGATAGTCTGTTTTCTTCTTTTCATTTCTTTAGGTGTGTTCTTTTTGATCACAGGGCTTGAACTCAGGGCCTGGTGCTGTCCCTGAGCTCTTTGAGCCACAGTGCCACTTCCGGTTTTCTGGTGGTTAATTGGAGATAAGAGGCTCATGGATTTTCCTGCCTGGGCTGGCTTTGAACTGCTATCCTCAGATCTCAGCCTCCTGAATAGCTAGGATTACAGGCGTGAGCCACCAGAGCCGGTTTCTTTAATTTTTAAAAGATTAAATGATATTTTTAATCTACAGTTTTTAAATGCCTTTTTTTGAGACAATTTCACAATATTACCGGTACTATTTTCAAACTCTGGGCTACAGTCATCCTTCACTACAAGTATATACCACTGTATCCATTTATCTATGTATATTCAATTACTTACTCATATCTAACAAATATATTAGAGAATAATCATATACTCATTATGTATATTCATATCTGTTGCCTATTTTTCTATCTACTAGGTATTTTAAAGTATTTTTTTTGATTTATGAGAACTTTTGTAAACTAAAGCTCTTCTAGTATAAAATGAACATTGTTTTGCATTTGTCAGTTTATTATTATATTTTATTATATTCAGTGGTAAAAAGGGGTTACCATTATGAGTACAGTGCATCTTTGATGAACTTGTCAGTTTTAAGTGTTTTATACTACTTAGGATATACTTTTTTATCTTTTCCTAAGAGCAATATACAAACATTTTTGTAAAATTTCAAATATTACAAAAATATAGAGGAAAAAGAAAACTTTCTAGTCCATTAACTAAATTAATTACTATCAATACCTTAAGGTTTCTATTTCTGTACATTAGAACACTTTTATTATGCATAGGTTGCACATGTACTTTGGCTTTTTATTTTTTTTAATTTTTGGTGTATATATTAGTACTATGGCTTGAACTTAAGATCCGAGTGCTGCTCTTCAGCTTTCTCATCCAAGGCTAGCACCCTACCCACATGAGCCACACCTCCACTTCCAGCTTTTTTGGTAGTTAATTGGAGATAAAAGCTTCACAGAGCTGGGTGCCAGCCTGGCAGGAAAGTCTGTAAGACTCTTATCTCCAGAAGTGGTGATGTGGCTCAAGAGGTAGCACACTAGCCTTGAGCTGAAGAGCTGAGGGACAGCACCCAGGCCCAGAGTTCAAGCCCCATGACCACCCCTCCCACCCCCCACCCCCCAAAAAAACTTCACAGACTTTTCTGCCTAGGCTGACTTTGAATTGAGATCCTTAGATCTCAGCCTCCTGAGTAGCTAGGATTACAGGCAGGACTGTCTGGCACTCAGCTGTTTTCTTTTTGTTTCCCACTTTAACAATACAATTAAGTGGCACTGTTAACTGACATGATGGTGAGACCATCACACTCTGTATTTCAAGAACTTCATCTCTGATTGAAACTTCACCTCCTAAACAACTATTCTTCTCTTTCTCTATTCCTTCCTCTTTCTCTCTCTAGCCTACTATTATTCTACCTCTATAACTTTGCCTATTTTAGGTACTTCATGTAAGTTAATTCATATATTTGTCACTTTGTCTTATTTCACTTAACATGATGTTCTTAAGGTCTTGTATCACTGAAACTTCACCTCCTAAACAACTGTTTATTCCTTTCTCTTACTGAAGAATATATGTATGTATGTACCAATGAATACATGCTGTCCATATTAATCAGTTTTTCACTACCGTGACAAAATAAAAAAGGAAGAAAGGTTTATTTTGACCTATGGTTTCAGAAGTTTCAGTTCATAATTAGCTGACTCCACTGTCATGGGGCTGAAATGGGGAGGGGGAAACCATCATGGTGGCAGTTGCTTGTGACAGAAGAGACTGTTCATCTCATGGTGGCCAGAAAGAAGTGGGAAAGGAGGAGGAGGAGGAGAGGGTAAAGGGGAGGGAAGAAGTATGAATAGACAGACAGGAATAATATACATACACGCTTCAAAGACATAATCATGGTTCTCAACTAAGCCCAACCTCCTAAAATTGTGACTCACTCCATCAATGAATTAATCCACTGACTAAGCCAGCACCCTCAAGATCCAATCACCTCTCAAAGTTTGGAGCTATTATGTGGGGACCAAGACTTCAACACATGAGGCCTTTTGGGTATGAATTCACATGCACACCACGACGTCTTTCCATGTGTTTATCAGCAGTGTTCTGTCCTTGTGTCTGCACTAGTCTTTTGCTTCCTGAGCTAAGTTTGTTCCTAGGAATTTTATTCTTCACTATATTTAATGTCTTCAGAGTATGACATCAGCTGGAGGTATTTACATGAAGCCTTTATTGGTTGAAGAAGTTTTTCTTCCATTCTAGATTCACAACTGAAGCATTTATCTAGCTGCTTTTTATCTCTCAGTTGTAATTAGTATCATATTGAATTCAAAGACTGATTTTGAGAATATACTAAAAAGAAATTCGCTAGGCTTATACAGTACTAGCATGGGGAAACCTTACTGGACAGGAAGAAGGAAGCCCATAATCTTGAATACGAGTTTATTGAATTTATGATGCTACTTTAAATGAGAAACATTAATACAAGTTTAAAAAGAGAGTGAAACTTTAAGGTGTTTTATACCAAAGTCAGAAATCAACCATGAATTTAAAGGATTTTAAAGGCTTTATTTTTTGGTTTTCTTTTTGAAATTTTTTTTTACTAAACCAATATTTCTTCTTTTTTTTCTAGGATATCCTGAGCCAAAACAAGGACTCTTTGACCAAGAACTAGGTTCTTATTTTGGTTGCTTATAACCCTGCATTTTGAGACCTTATTTATATTTTACATGGAAATATTTTATCTTCCAAGTATCAGCAGTTAAGAAAGAAACCACATGTCATAAATTATTAGTGATGACTGACATTTATGGTTACTTTGTGCAGATACCAGGACAAATATAAATAATAGTGTGTGTAGGAAAATCTAGGTAAGGATAACTGGAAATGGAGTCTCATGAACTTTTCTGCTCAGGCTGGCTTTAAACCATAGTCCTCCAGATCTTAGCATCCTGAGTAGCCAAGCATGAGTCACCAGAACCTGGCTAGTGGTATTATTTATAGGTTAAAATACATAAAATGCAGCTTGCTTTCCACAAGATAGTGTTATTTTGTTAAGAAAATCTGTATATAGGGGGGCTGGGAAGGTGGCTCAGTGGTAGAGCGCTTGCCTTGCATGCCTGAGGCCCTGGGTTCGATTCCTCAGCACCACATAAGCAAAAAAAAGAAAAAAAAGCCAGAGGTGGCGCTGTGGCTCAAGTGGTAGAGCACTAGCCTTGAGCTGAAGAGCTGAGGGACAGCACCCAGGCCCAGAGTCCAGGCCCCACGACCGGACCCCCCCCAAAAAAAAAAAAAGAAAATCTGTATATATTGGGCTGGGAAGGTGGCTCAGTGGTAGAGCGCTTGCCTTGCATGCAAGAGGCCCTGGGTTCTATTCCTCAGCACCACATAAGCAGAAAAAAAAGCCGGAAGTGGAGCTGTGGCTCCAGTGGTAGAGTGCTAGCCTTGAGCTGAAGAGCTGAGGGACAGCGCTCAGGCCCAGAGTTCAGGCTCACGACTGTACTCAAAAAGAAAAAAGAAAAAAAATCTGCATATAAATTTGTTTTCTATTTATATATTTTTGTACATGAACCTTAAAGTTCTATAAATTGACTTATATTTCATTTGGGAAAAGTTGGCTTCATGCACCTTTATGTAGGCTTACACAGTTCACACATTATATATTAAATATATATTTCCCTTTAAGGGAAATAAAAAGATTTCCTAGTGAGTAAAAGAAGATATAAACCTATTTCTTTTCATTGACTTAGACTAGCTTCATAAAAGTTAACTGTTTTTAAAAACTTACTTCAGCTTATTTTTTTCTTAGTATTTTCTGGTATTCATTAGAGATTTGTTCCATACCCCACACCCCAGGAATCCAAAAATCTGTGGATGGTCTCAAGTTCCTTTAATGAAATGGTATATATAGTATTTACATATAATATGGAAATGCCTTCCCTAAGTCAGCTCCAGAGTGCACTTACTATATAATAATACAGTGCAAATGCTGTCTACATGGTTGTTATATTTATTTAGGGACTAACAACAAGAAAACATGTTTAGTACTGATAAGTTTTCTACCCCCCAAATATTTTTGATTTGCAATTGGTGGAATCCATGGATTCAGAACCATCCAGATGGCTGACTGCACAGCTGGAAACTTAAATCCTGATAAACCCACCACAAACTGATGACTCACCCCTGTAATCCTAGCTACTCAGAAGCTGAGATCTGAGTATCACAGTTCAAAGCCATCCTGGGTAGGAAAGTCTGTGAGACCCTTATCTCTAATTAACCAGCAAACTCCAGGAAATGGAAGTGTGACTCAAGTGGTAACTGCTCTGGCCCTGAGTTCAAGCCCCAGTACTGGAGTGCATGCACATACACACACGTGCATTCATACGCACACACACACACACACACAAATATTATATATATATTAATATATACTCACACACAAATACTTTATATATATGTATATATAGACATATATAAAATCTCCAAAGGTGAAATCCCTTTGACACCTAACCCCTATGAAACAGTATAGCTTAGCCACACCAGGCAGAGTTCCTGGTTTTGGCTCACTGGGAACCATGGCTCTCTGCCACTGCTGGGCATCTTGAGACCATATCTTATTGCTAACCCAGAAAAAATACAAACTCAGAGCTCAGAATACTGAATATGCATCACTGACACACCACTGTAAAGTCAGAAAAATCTTAAAAGTCAAACCATCTCAAGTTGAGGACTGTCTATGTTTTAACTTCGAATTCTGTGGTCAGACTACCATTATGCCAGTAAGTCCAATGCTTTCATAGACTGTTGGACATCTGTTTATGAAATGAGAGCAAAGGTAAGCATAACACTTGCCATATGGACTAACAGCAATCCAGTAAATATAGTGGTAGCTTACAAGCAGAGATACTACTAACAGATGCACTTGTACAAGTTTAGCTTCTGTAGAATTATTTAGTGTCCTCTGGATAGCCAAACTTGCACATTCAGATTTCTCTGCGTGTGTCTGTTATTCCTGTGCCCTGGTGTCTCCTGGGCAGCTAGGGCATGTCTCTATTTGGGGGTGTGTCTACAAAGATGGAAGGAAGATAAGAAAAGGGGTTGATGTTAAGATTAAGTATTAATTGTGAAGGCTATAAGTAGCATCTATATGATCAGTTAATAAAACATGTATGACTTATTCCACATATCCACTTATAAGGAAACACAGAAATTTTTAATTTCTTATAATATCATTAAAATAAATAATAACCAAAGCTGGGCGTCTGTGGCTCACGCCTATAATCCCAGCTATTGAGGAAGATGAGATCTGAAGATCACAATTCAAAGCCAGCCCAGGCAGAAAAGCTCATGAGACTTTTATCTCCAATTAAATAGCCAAAGGTGGAAGTAGTGGTGTGGCTCAAATGGTAGAGCACCCACCTTGAGTAAAAAGCTAAGCAGGAGTACAAGGCAGAGTTCTCATTCTGTCACACACATACAAATCCAAACAGGTAACTGAACTGAACTATGAGAGAAATGTATTTTTAAATGACTGTCCTCAAAATTAGTAATAATTCTAATTGTTCTATGATAATCTTTACTATACAATTTAGGGTAACTACAGAACAAAGACCTAAAAACTGAAAGTCACAAATCTTACCCTTAACTGTGGAAACTGGCTTAGGATTTCATGACCAGACCTGGGATATATTAGGAATCATGTTAAAATTAGAGAAACTTTAGTATTTAGATAATTTCAACTAAGTACTTTAACCCCCATCTAGAGACCCCATCTAGAGACCAAGATATGTTCATCATCTTCTGTTCTTATTCTTTCTTAGATGCATGGATCATTGCTCTGATTATTCTTATTTTCAGTAAGTATCCCCAATTTAACATTGCTTAAGTCAAAATAATACTGTAAAGTTCATTTTAAGAAGTTTTTCAGTTTTGGTAGTTTTTATTGAAATTTAAGATTAAGTAAACCATCTTAATAAAACCCTAATCTTTTATATATGATATATTCTCATTGGTAATTATATTATGTAATATGTGTTCAATTATATTTACTACACAGTTTAGTGTATGTAACATATACTATTATATATATATACATGTACACATACATATACAAACAAATAACATGTCTTCTTAAGTTATAATAGTACACTATTTCTGTCAAATGTGGTGTGTGTGTGTGTGTGAACTCAAGCTGGGAACTACCCTTTTGTTTTTTGCTCAATGCTGGTGCTCTGCTGCAGATCTACCTGTACCGGCCTTTTTTTTGGTGGCTAATTGGAGAAAAGAGTTTCAGAGACTTTGCTGCCCAGGTTGACTTTAAACTTCAACCTTAAAATCTCAACTTCCTAGTAACCACTGACACCTGGCTCTAAATGTACTTTCGATACTTTTCTAAATTAAGCTATGATTCCTCTTTGCCTTGTCATGGGACTGTGTGATGCCAAGGAGTTAGATAATGAAGAAACCAAATGTGTGTAAATAAAATACCCTTTCCCCACCAGCATTTGTTTCTTCTGCTTAAATTCAGTCCTGGTAATGAGGTTTCAGACTCACAGTTTTTTTTCTTTCTTTCCTGGTGTCTTGCAGTTGTTTCAATTGCTATCATTTGTCTCTGCCTATACAGGATTCTTGGCCCCAGAAAGAAAGGGTAAGTGAAAGCATTTCTTCTCATTTATTAGGCCTTCGTATCCTCAGCATGCTTTCATCCAGCTTTATGTTTGTTCCCTGTATTGTACCATCCTTCTCCCCCTGGTTGAACCCAGGGCCTCATGCTTGCTATACTCCCAACAGAAGTCACTGTTTTTAAATTATGCATTCACGTGTCATACAAAATGTTTGTTTTTTTTTTGCTAAAAGTATTTTCATCTACTTTCAACATCATGGCAATATAGGGAACCTATGTATTTCTTCAGCAGGTAACTGTAAGAAAAGGTTTCTTGTGAGAGTGGAAGTTTAAGTTCCTAGGTGAACCACAGGCCATTACAAGTTCCTCCCTACCCCAGATAGACCACTTCCTAAAGGGGAACCAATGGCCAAAATAGACACACTGACAGTTGCAGTCACTGTAGATACTATGATAAAAATTTCCATTTATCTGTATCAGTTAGCTATGTATCAGATGTCTCAGATAATCCATTTAATTTCATTTAGTTACTTCCATTAACGGGGATTAAGAACAGCACTATTTGATTTCTGTTATGTTCTCCTCATTTTCTAGATCGAAGCAAAGTAAAAGCGGTACTATTGCCCAGGAAGCTAAAAGTTCCAGAATTCTCAATAAACAGTCAAGTCAAAAATTCGCCACTCTCAAGTGATATATATAGAAACATCACTTCGAAGAGTTCAAAGATTTTAAGAGCTAATGTGCCAGGGTGCGGTGATGAAGACAAAATGTATTTTCCATCAAATCAGATTGTCTTTGGAAACTCATTTATACAAGATTATAAAATGTACGGAGCTACTTCTGTCTTTCTTATGGGCAGCTGAAATAGGGTAGCAGCCATGAACATTCTTGAGGTGCTGTTAAAACTTAGTACACACATGGGTTTTGTTTTTTTTTGTTGTTGTTGTTTTTTTGTTCTGGTCATGGGGCCTGAACTCTGGGCCTGGGCGCTGTCCCTCAGCTCTTCAGCTCAAGGCTAGCGCTCTACCACTTGAGCCACAGTGCCACTTCTGGCTTTTTTCTTTTTGCTTATGTGGTGCTGAGGAATCGAACCCAGGGCCTCATGCATGCAAGGCAAGTGCTCTACCACTGAGCCACCTTCCCAGCATAGTAATGGCTTGGGAACACAACTGCCTTTCTACAGTCTTCTTTTCAAAGCACAAAAACAGATGGATGAGATCTTACTTTTGGTTGAGATTTAGCTCAGTAGACGAGCACTTGCCTGGCAAGTGCAAGACTAAAATTATGACCATTGGTCTGAATCAGCTTCTACCTAGCCAATCCTATCATCCTTTGTAGCCCAGCCTGGCAATTGTTTAACTCTCATCTTGCAAGTCCATGTGATCCCAAACTACAGCTGTTTTTATTTCGTTGTGATGGTTTTCTCCTGATTTTGTTTGTGCTAGATAAATTGGCCATGGATAGGTGAGAGTTAAGAAATTAATGATAATTGCTGATAACATTCATAGTTTGTATTATCTGAGGCAATAGTTATCATGGATTTCTCCATTCATGCTATTTCTTGTTTCAGATCACAGAAGCCTGCCAGACTGATTTTTGTCAGTGTTTCAAGCTGTCTGTGCTGAAGGCAACATTTCATCAAGCAGAGAGAGCCTGAAATTTGCAATCAGCTCAGACAGTTTTCAAGAACACAGAACAAAACAGTCAAATTAACATCGAGCAGGGTTTTCTAGTTGGCTCTCCAATGTTGTAAGCATCCAGCAAACCTTTCTAAAACATTGAAAAAATACTGTTTATAGTTTAGAAAGCATATGATATAATGAAATCAGAACTGTCCCAGGAATTTGGAAGGGCACGTAATAAATGTATCTTCCCTCAAGTTGAAATAAAGTGCCATAAAACCATACTGGATGCCAGTGCAGAAAGACAGGATTCATCTGAAAATGCCGAAGACAGGATGGCATGGATTTAATATATATTCCCTCAAAAATCAAAGGTACTTTAAAGTCTAGACCCATTTCTCCTTTCACAGTGTTATTCAATGAATTTTTTCTAAGATTTGGTATGTGCAAAAATTGAATTTCTTTGAACAGAAATTATCTATTCATCAGCTAGATGACATGTGACTTCAGAGTTAAGTTCTTGTACAAATTCATTCGTCAGGTCCCTCAGTGAGAATCACAACATGGTACTTTATGAGCCTAAGGCTTATGTTTCCTTCCATTCCTTCCTGTCATTGATTTTTATCCCATGTACTCAACTGTCTGGCTTCTTTTTGATGCAATATCGCTATTTACTACTCATTATTTAGCTCTTTCTCTTCCTCCAGCACATACCTAACAGAGGAGAGCTACAGAGAAGTAAACTTTGCTTCTCTCTAAGAAGAAGAGAGGAGAGAAAGATTTGCTTTTATCATGAAAAGGTATATTAGCTTTCTGTTTTCTTTGCAACGATGGCTTTGTTCTGGAAAATATTCTGTGGGTTTTAGATATCAATACCTGAGCTAAAATATGTCGGCAGTGAGGATCAAAGAGGGAACTCAAAAGATCCCTCCCATTCCCCTTGCTAACTTACTAATGTTTTCTTCTAGCTTCCTTTGTAAAATTTAAGGTGTACTGACAGGTATTGGCTTAGATGGAGGCTTAACTAGTTCTGTTCCCTCCATCCTTGCATCCGGTTGCTTCTGCTTCTAGAGCAGCTACAAATCCGAACCTAACTGTGCTTTTGATCCCAGAGGGGAGCAATGAGCACAACCAGTTCATCTCAACACAGAGAAGGAAAACATGCTTTCAGAGAAACCAAAACTGCTTTAATTTGGTGAATATAGTCAATTCCAACTTGACAAGTTGTTTCTCTGTATTAGAGTGTATAGTCTAATATACATTATATGTTTTTAAGATACTATAATACATATTAATTTTAGTATATTTACTACAATTATATAATCACATAATTTATTTTAATATGTAGTATATACATTATATGTATACTGTGTAGTATATATTTATAGTTTAGTATAGTTATAATATATTCTGACTTAATTATGTAATCTATCCTTTATTATATAGTTATATAATACATAGTATAATTTTTCAATATTGAACAGTTGAGGCTTGCATCTCCTCAAGCGAAACCCTCATCATTCTGGTTTCCAACTGAGACAAATTAAGAGTTCCTTTCTTTGTGCTAGAATATACATCTACATGGCTGGGAAGAGGGAACTAGGCCCCCTGCTTTTTTTATTTATTTTTATTTTTTTTATTTTTTGGTCCAGTTGTGGGGCCTGAGCTCTGGGCCTGGGCGCTGTCCCTCAGCTCTTCAGCTCCAGGCTAGCGCTCTACCACTTGAGCCACAGCACCACTCCCAGCTTTTTCTGCTTATGTGGTGCTGAAGAATCGAACCCAGGGCCTCATGCATGCAAGACAGGCGCTCTACCACTAAGCCAACTTCCCAGCCCAGCCCCCTGCTTTTTTATGATTAAAAAAACTACCTAAGTTTATAGTCAAGGGTATTGATTGGCTTAGACACTGGTGGCTCCTGCCTGTAATCCTAGTTACTCAGGAGGCTGAGATCTGAGGATCAGTTTGAAGCCATTCTAGGCAGAGAAGTCCCTATGACTCTCATCTCCAATTAACCAGCAGAAAACCTTACTTGGAGGGGACTCAAGTGGTATAGCACCAGACTTGAGCAGGCAAGCCTAGCTTGAAGTATGAAGCCTTTGAGTTCCATACTAGGGGGTAAGTGTTGGGACAGGTGGAGAAGGGAAAAATAAATAAAATTATTACACCTGTTTCTTCCCTAGAAAAGTTCAAATTACATATGCAACTAGCATTTTATTTCATAGGACATAAAACAGGTTTTATGAAGACATGCATGGTAAGAATGCATGACATAAACTTGAACTTCAAATATCTGATCCTGACCAGAAGGTGTATGTGCAGCCTTCCTGTGCTTGAGCTCCTCTTGGGGGCACTGCATTTTCTATTTCAAATCAGAGCTGCACATTCAAATTTGTAGTATTAGGGAAAGACATGTTTCTCTCAGGTCTTTCCCACTGACTGACAAAACACTAAAACGAGTCAATCCTTTCAGAGGAAATTAAAAATATAGAAGAAGAGGGCTTTTAGAGACACATTGAGACACTTCAAATTAATTTTTCAAGGCTCATTTGTTGGCTAGTTTAAACACTGAGAATATTATCAAGTCTCTTTCTGCAATTGTCCCCTTCATGCTAGGGGAAATCTATGCTCAGTGGCAGACCAGTTGTCTGGCATGCATAAGGGTCTGGGGTTTAAATCCACAGTGCTTTGAGGAAGAGACCAGGTCTGTTTTTCTGGAATTTAATTCTTGAATTTTATTTCTATGCTTACTATTTTTCTTTGATGATATCTTTGTAGGAAAACAGGTTTAGAGTTCAATATACTACCTACCAGAGAAAGTCAACTACTCCAGCCAAGCCAGCTGCACGATGACCACAAACACGTGTTTCCATTTTGTTTGTTTTTTTTTGTTGTTGTTGTTTGTCAGTCATGGGTTTGAACTCTGGGCCTAGGCGCTATCCCTCAGCTGTTCAGCTCAAGGCTACGGCTCTACCACTTGAGCTTCAGCACCACTTCCAGTGTTCTGGTGGTTTATTGGAGATGCGAGACTCATGGACTTTCCTGCTCAGGCTTAGAACTGAGATCCTCAGATCTCAGCCTCCTGAGTAGCTAGGATTACAGGCGTGAGCCACCAGCACCCAGCTCTGTTTATCTTTGATGTCTTCTTATCTACAGGGTTACTGTTTCTACCATGAGAAATGCAGCTCTTAAGTCATAATGCTCACATTTTAATGTGGCTTGAATGTAGTCACCTGACTTGGATGCCTTGAAATGTGTACAAATTTAATGTAAACAAGCAATAGAGCCTGATTTCCCTTAAATAACACTTTATGTAAGGGTGAGTCCATCTTGAAGCAGGAGATTTATAATCAAAGAAATACAGTTCACAGTATCATTATGGTGCCTGTAATCCCAGCAGTTCTGAGGTTGAAAGCCTTTCTAAAAAAAAAAAAATAAGCTGGGTGTAGTGGCTCACACCTATAATCCTAGCTACTTGGGAGGCAGAAATCAGGAAGACCAAAGTTTGAGAACAGCCAGGGCAAAAAATTGGTGAGACCCCCATATCAACCAATATCTGGGCACAATGGTGTACAACTGTCATCTCAGCTAAGCAGAAAGCATAAGAGGATCAAAGTCCAGGCCAGCCTAGACAAAAATACAAGAACCTATTTGAAAAATAACGAATGCAGAAGGTATTGAGGGGCATGGCTCAAGTGGTAGAGCACCTGCCTAGCAAACACAAGGCCCTGAGTTCACCCAGTGCAGTGCAACCAAACCAAGCGGGGGGGGGGGGGAGGGGGGAATGGTTTTGTTTGTAAAGAACAACATTGAAAATTGGGAATTTGGGCATTTGATATCCTTAACTGAGAATATTATTGTAAAATAAAGTAAAAGTTGGTAAGATAGAATTCAATTTTTTGGAGTCATGTTTGATTTGAAGAAACTAGAAATTTTATGCATGACATTTTTTTTTCTTTTCTGTCTGTGACATCAATGAACCAGTCTCAGAAACAGTAAGCTATCACAACCTCTGGAGACTTTTTAGCTATAAGAAGTCGAGGACTGTCTCCCCTAATAACAATGCTAGATGATGGGACACCGTGAACACTGGGGCCTCGGGGAGGCGCTGGCTGAGTCCTGGCCGTGGGTGGCTTTGTTTTTCCTATGTAAGTAAGGAGAGGTC